TGAGAGGATTAAGAAGAAGCTGAATGAATGGCGGTCTGAGCTCTTACATGGTGGGAATGCATCTTCTGAGTCTCCTGGGATCTCAAATGGGTCGACACAGAGTACTGAAACTGTGTTTTATCACATGCGTCCTGCTCTCAGTCTGCAGGGTTTCACTTCTCATCAGCTCAGAGTTATTAGATTGGTAATACTCTTTGTTATGAGATTGATTTATCTTCAAGACAGTGTTCATCTTTGCTTCAGATTGTTATTTTATGTAAAAGTTGGTTCTGGATTTTAATTTTTGCAGGTTTTAGGAAAGCATTTTGGAGATCTTGTATACATACATGCCAATGATAAAAGTTCCTCTTCCCAAGACTTTGTTGTGTACACTGATTCAGAATCCGACAAGGAAAATCTCTTGGTAATATACCATTTACTTAGATTGATGAAGTGAATTTGTTAAAGATAGCAGAGTTCAGGCTTGATGGATACTGTTATTCACCCTTGACCCTTCTTTGATCCATATTATTACTATTATTCTTCTACAGAAAGAGGCAAAGGATGAACGCAGGAAAGTGGCGGAAAGAAAAATACAATCTGCAATAGGGTTTCGTCAAGTTATTGATCTGCTTTCTTCAGAGAAGAAGTTGATTGTTGGTCACAATTCTATCCTAGGTATGCAAGCAAGTTGCTTCTCTATACGTCTATGATGGTTTTGCAACTTTTAAGATGCTTTGCTCTTAACCATTTTTTTTTGCTTTTATCTGACGCAGATATTGCACATGTATACAGCAAATTTATGGGTCCTCTTCCTTCAACAGCTGAGAAATTCGTGGCCTCCATCAACGACCACTTTCCTTACATTGTTGACACCAAAATACTCTTAAACGTGAACCCAATGTTAAATCAGAGGATGAAGAAGTCAAGTACATCACTATCCTCTGCCTTCTCCTCGTTATGTCCACAAATCGAGTTTCCTTCGCGAAGCTCTGACTCGTTTCTTCAGCATCGTGTCAAGATTGACGTCGAAGTAGACAACGTTAGGTTTGTGCCTCTTCTATTCTTGGCATCAACGCTTGTAATGCATAGTGTTTAAACTTATATTCTTCTGTTTCAGATGTTCTAACTGGAATGCAGGAGGAAAACACGAAGCAGGTTATGATGCTTTCATGACAGGTTGCGTCTTTGCACAGGCATGTAGTCATCTAGGGTTCGACTTCGAACATGATTCAGAGAACATTGCACAGAACGAGAAACTTGAAAAGTACATTAACCGTCTTTATCTCAGCTGGACAAGTGGCGATATCATCGACCTACGAACAGGCCATAGTAATGCAGAGAACTGGAGAGTCTCGAAGTTTAAATACGAGAAAATCGTCCTCATCTGGAATTTCCCACGAAAACTCAAGGCTAGACAGATCAAAGAATGCATCTGCAAAGCCTTTGGCTCGACTTCCGTGACTTCTGTCTACCACTTGGACGACACTGCAGTTTTCGTCTTGTTCAAGAACTCGGAACTCGTTTCAGAGTTTCTAAAGGTCAAGGAGCAGCTGGAGTCAGACAATGGTCCTGTCACGATCATTCACCCTCTCTCCAAGATCCTTGAAGGAGGGAAAACCGGAGCTGCAGACTACGAAGCCTACAAAGAGATTTGCAGCTCACACATCTCAAAGGTCCTATTCTCTGACCAAGCTGAAACTGTTGGTGTCAAACCAAGAACAAGACCTGAGACTGAGAGAAGAGAGAGCATGGTCGCTGTGACTGAAAATGACAAAGCATCGGATTTGATCGATGCGTTTTTGGCAAGTAGAGTTTAAAGACAAGTTTTTATTTTATTTTTTTTGCAAAGAAAAATTGTCAACATGAAACGGATATAGTGTAATACTTGTGTTATGATCAGGTATAATTTAAAAGATGTGCGGATAAATCAAATAGTATTGTTGTTAACAATGGATCGGATGGAGATATCAATCTCAATCAAATTTTCTTCAGCTTCAAGCTCATCCCAAATCTCCATGATCGTCATCTCCTTGTAGTAATCTTCTTTGCTCATCCAACCATCCTTAGCTTCTCTCACCAGAGAAATCTCTATCAACCCTTCTTCTTCTTCCTCATCATCACCTAGGTTGGTTTTAGTTTCTTGACCTTCAGGATCTTCTTCCCGACCATGAAGACCAGAGTTGGACTTGTTTCTGAACACGTCACTAATGTGGAGAACCTTAGAGAGAAACAAGATTGGGATAGTTATGAGATTGAAAAGTTTCTTCAAAAAAGAGAGTGCTGAGATCAATAGTGTCTTGTTGACTCCATTTCTCGCCATTGTTGGGGGTCATCAGACATTACACAACCGATTTATAATATGTTCATCTCTATCATGAATTTTCCAGCCGAATGCACTGAACACAGGCAATATTCTAATGGGGGTACAAAGACAAAATTCTTATGACATGTTCCCCAGTATCTTGTAAGGGAGCCCATTGGGTCAGGACTTGTGACACATGCATTGTAGCATTGACTTTCATCCGTTGACTCCAGACATAGCTGTTCTCTATGAATCTAAAGCCCTTCAGTGTCCTAGCCACAAAGAATAGGTTACCATCGTGACAACAAAAAATCAGCAAGATTTCGACAATGTTAACAAATAGTGTATGTCATTTCACTATGCCGAGGAACTCTAATCTGATTGCGGTTGTAGTCTTTTTCTCTCCGTCTTATTTTCATTTTAACCCCCAGTTCTTTCTTTAATTACAGATACAGAACAAATAATTTCAAACTATCAGATACATCCTTCCCCAAAATTATTATTAAACCCTTCTCCTGAGACCTATTGTACATACCCAAAACGATGTCGTTAATTTCACGCCTTCTCCGTGGCACCTTCAATACTACCACTCTCCGTCGTTTTTCCTCCGCCGCCTCGGAAACCACGGCCGAAACCTCTCCACCTAAAAAGTCACTCAGCAGTATCGTGAATGACGAACGAAACCCCAAACGGATCGTTGAGAAGTTCAAAATGGCGTGTGAGTCAGAGCGATTCCGAGCCAACATAGCCGTGTACGATAGAACCGTGCGGCGTCTCGTCGCCGCAAAGCGATTACATTTCGTGGAAGAGATTCTAGAGGAGCAGAAGAAGTACCCCGACATGTCAAAGGAAGGATTCGCGGCGAGGATCATTTCTCTTTACGGAAAAGCCGGCATGGTTGAAAAGGCACAGAAGGTGTTCGACGAAATGCCAGAGAGAAGCTGCAACAGGTCAGTGCGGTCTTTCAATGCCTTGCTTAGTGCCTATGGGGTTTCCAAGAGATTCGATGTGGTTGAGCAGCTTTTCAGTGACTTACCGGACAAGCTATCGATCAAACCAGACATCGTGTCTTACAATACTTTGATCAAGGCATTGTGTGAGAAGGGTTCCTTGTCGGAAGCGGTTGCGTTGCTTGGTGAGATTGAGAACAAGGGTTTGAAGCCTGATATAATCACATTCAACACGCTTTTGTTGTCGTCGTATCTTAAGGGAGAGTTCGAGCAAGGGGAAGAGATGTGGGCTAAAATGGGGGAGAAGAATGTAGTAAGGGACATCAGGAGTTACAATGCTCGGTTACTCGGATTAGCTAACGAGACGAAATGGGAAGAGCTATTAAGTCTCTTTGAAGAACTGAAGTCTAATGGGATCAAACCTGACGTTTACAGCTTCAATGCAATGATTAGAGGTTCAATCAACGAAGGAAAAATGGAGGAAGCGAAAGCGTGGTATAAAGAAATTGTGAAGCAGGGTTATCGTCCTGATAAAGCTTCATTTTCTTTACTGCTTCCTGCATTGTGTAAAGCGGAGGAGTTTGGGTCAGCGATAGAGCTGTGCAAGGAGACATTCAGTAAGCGTTATCTTGTGGGTCAAACGACACTGCAGGAGTTAGTAGATGAGTTGGTAAAAGCGGGTAAGAGAGGAGAAGCTGAGGAGATTGTAGAGATAGCAAAGAACAATGATTTCTTGAAGTTCAAGCTTAATTTGTCGGCGCAGGAGGAGTAAGTGTGAGAGGCCTCACCCTCTTTCGTAGGCTTGTATTTGCACGTGTTGCCTTGTGGCGATCTGGGAAAAAAAACGGCAAGTACTAGTCGAGGTTTGAGCAGATGAAAATCTCCATGTTTTTAATGAAACTTTGTTTTGAATTTATTGTTTTGCTGGGGTAGTTTGCAGTTAATATCTCTCAAACCTTAACAGATCTAAAGATTAATGAAAAAAGGTATACTCTTAATAAAATATCGGAGATGATATAAACCGACTTCCAAACAGTGAAAATGCCTAGTTAATTAATTAAAGTAAATCCTGTTACCAAACAGTCCCATTAATTTTTTTAATTTCCTTTTCGCGAACGTCCTATTAGATCATTTACTTACTTATTCTCCGATCATTTTGAAAACCCTACTTCAACCCCTGCGATTTCATCAGTGCTTGGAGAATACGCCGAAATCGAGAATGGCTTTTTCTATCGCTCTACGATCCCGCCTTGTGCCAAGGTTGCTACGGAATCTTCGATCTCGTACTTCAAGAAGGCTACTTTCAACGGAAGCACCTTCTTCTTCTTCTTCTTCATCCAAGGCGGCTCCAGGACTCTCCTCTGCACAGCAGTCTCTCTTTTCTGATTTGCCAAATCATCTTCCTCCTCCTCCCCCTGAGGCGGCGGCGGCTGCGCTGGGAAAGGAGCGGAAAGGTCTAAAGTTTCTTAGTAACGTATTCATCTGGGCTCTCACCGGTGCCACCGCTGCCGTTGGTTACACTAGCTATGGTCTGTTATTATCTTCTGATCACGTGGCTTACGGTTATTTAGAGAACACCTAACGAAGCAGTTAATAGATTTAGGGTTTGAATTCAAGGCCTTTACCAATGTCTGTCTTTTGAATCAACAACTGAGCCTTAGGTGTCAAGTCTAACTTTCAGCTGATCTCGACTCTTTTAGAGATCTCATATGATTCTTTGTTTATAACGTTGTTGCAGCTTACACATTAGACGAAGTGAATCAGAAGACAAAGGCCTTCCGAGAATCCGCTTCAAAGGCACCACCAGCTCTTTATTCTACCGGCATTGATGTGAGTTACCCCTTGCAACTCGCTTTCAATTCAATTCAGTTTTGACTTGCCATTGTACATCTCTTTTATCTCACCTACTCCTTTTATAACTACCCTGAATTAATACTTTATATCACTCATCTCTTTGCAGAAATATCAGGCAATGTTATACTATACTGCCAAGAAAGGTAATAGCCCTTTTTACCCTTGTCATAAAATTATCTCATATGGCTTGGTTTTTGCTTGAATTCTGATCAGTTCCTGCAAGAGCCATTGATATGTATTTGGAGCTTAGGGAAGCTGTGGAGGAACAAGTTAAAGTATGTTCTCTTCTTCCACCCCCGCCCCACACACTTCTCTTGTGCCTTCCTATATCTTCTGACTTGTTTTTTTAACTTGTAGGGCTTCACAGAACCTCTCTCGGAAAAGCTTCTTCCAGATATGCACCCCGCAGAACAGGGTGTAATCTACACTCTCGTTCTTGATTTGAATGAGACACTGCTTTACACCGACTGGAAGGTAACACCAACCCTCCCCGATTCAATTATTATCTTGACATCTCCTATATTGTGAATATCCCTTTTAAAACACTTTTTCATTTACATCAAGCGAGAGAGAGGGTGGAGGACGTTCAAAAGACCAGGTGTCGATGCTTTCTTGGAGCACCTTTCCAAGTACTATGAGATTGTTTTGTATACTGACCAGATGGATATGGTATATATATATATATATATATATATCCCTTTTTATATTTTGTGTAATGTCATAACACTAACACTTTTGTTTCATTGCTTCTAGTATGTAATTCCCGTCTGTGAGAAGTTAGACCCGAATTACTACATACGTTATAGGCTAGCAAGAAACGCTACTAAATATGAGAATGGAAAGCACTTTAGGGTACGTTATCATCAATCTTATCTCTCTCTCTCTTTTTCAATAAACTACCAGAACTAGCTGCTTCTCAACTAACTATTCTAAAATCCCCGTGGTGCAGGATCTGTCAAAGCTGAACAGGGACCCGAAGAGGATTATGTATGTTAGCGGGAATGCTTTTGATACAACACTTCAGCCAGAGAATTGTGTGCCAATCAAGCCTTACAAACTCGAATCTGATGACACAGCGCTTGTCGACCTAATACCCTTCCTTGAATGTAAGTATGGTTCAGTTCTAGTATTGTGATCTGTTTTTTTATTATTATTAATGTTGGTTGGTTAGGCTGATCTCTTTTCTTTTGGGTCTGCAGATGTTGCACGTAATAATCCAGCTGATATCAGACCGGTTCTAGCCTCTTTCGAGAGAAAAGATGTTGCCAAAGAGTTCCTTGAGAGGTCTATAGACTATCAGAAGTGAGTCTTTTTTTTTCTTTACCTATCGATGAATGCAAAATCTGTTGCTGGCTGTCTAATAAGACGAGTCTTATTGAATATGCAGGCGAATGCAAGGACAAAGACAAGGCCGATTCTGGAGGCGTTAGAAGGATCTATAAAACATTTTATGTATAGTGAGTGACAGATTATATCCTCATTGATGCATTACACCATAAAACAAGAACAGAAGCTACTGTTCTTCTCTTAGGGATTCTAGGTAAACTTTGAACTAAAATCATGTCTTCCTCATCAGTGTTATGTTTTTTACCCAATTTTTTTAACTTTGTCCCCGATTTACAAAGTGAACTTTTTCCAATAAAACCAAAATGAAATGCTCTTTATTTTTAATTTGCAGATATATTTTTATTCTAATGTGTTTTTGTTTACGATTATAATCTCCAACCCCACTCCAAAATCCACTCCAAACTCTATTTTACAGTAAAATCATCTTTAAATCTACTCCAAAATGGAGTAACAAACATGATTACTCTAAATATGGAATAAAGCAATTCATTATTCTAAAATGGAGTTTAGCTTCTTTATTTATCAAATGGTCCTCCACATTTATGTATATTTCGTTTTTAATAAAATATTATTATAAATAAGTATATTAATATTATTTTACTATATCTATTATAAAATTTACTGTTAACATTTCTTAATTATATAAACAGTCTAATTTTTAATATTATTATAAATAAGTATATTTATATTATTTTATTATATATATTATAAATTTACTGTTAACATTTCTTAATTATATGAACAGTCTCGTTTTTAATAAAATATTATTATAATAAATATATTAATATTATTTTACTATATATATTATAAAATCTACTGTCAATATTTCTTAATTTTATAAATAGCCTCGTTTTTAATAAAATATTATTATAAATAACTATATTAATATTATTTTACTATATATATTATAAAGTTTACTGTTAATATTTCTTAATTATAAATAGCTTCTTTTTAAATAAAATATTATTATAAATAAGTATATTAATATTATTTACTATATATTATAAAATTTATTGTTAATATTTCTTAATTATATAAATAACCATCTGTTGAACTCTTTTATGCAACAAAATATATATAATATAAAACATAAAAGACCATATATATAGAAAATAAAAGATAAGCACCATACATAAGAAATAACATAAAATAAAACTTATAACAAAGATAATTGCTTAATAATCCGATAAATCATTTTAGGATCCATTAAAATTATTAAAATAATCCAATAAAATATTATTAAATTCTTACTTAACATGATAATAGAAGATGATAGTGATCTTGAGGCGCCAATTGAAGTTGAAAGAGAAGTTCTGCCTAGGAAAGTTGAAATTGAAGGAAATAATAATGTGAGGTTCCAAGAATTTCTTTTTCGTTTCAGAAAAATAAAGAAGCTCATTTTTTACTTCGAAATGCATTAATTGATCATTTGTGGGAAAATTATTCTAATTCTAATGAATAATTTAGAATTGATGTATTATTGTGTTTAAGCTATGTAATGTAATTTTTAATATACTAATGTTTTCTTTTAAAACCTTGTTGAGTAATTTTATTTATATAATAAAAAAATTATTGTGGTTAATATTTTATTTAATAGAAATGTTATAAACTGAAAATAGACTGTTTTGTAAATAGTATAAATGAAAGGTGATATTATTAATTTTAAATAAATATAAAACATAATATTTTAGAAATATTGTTTTGGAGTAAAAAAAATGGAATAATACATTAGAATAAAACTCAACTGCATTTTAGAGTAAAAAATTAAGTAATACATTGGAGATGCTCTAAAATCTGTTAGTGTCGGTGCATGCCTTTAGGTACAATGTTGTAAGTGCTCGTTTAGCCTGTAATCTTTTTCAAATGTGTATGAAGTAGTAGAAGTCAAACTAATCTTATACTATAAAGAAGAAGGGGATTCTCTTCTCCTCAATACACCTCATGATATGACGTCACTAAATACTCTTACCTGAATGTGACACCTGTCGCGCCACACCAAAACTCGGCGTTTAATTAAACCGAAAGAGGAGAATTTGTGGGCTTCTGTGAATTATAAGAATTAAACCCCACAACAGGCCCTAGAGTCTTCATCCCCTTCACGCTGAAATTAGGGTATCTGTTCTTCTAAGAACTCCAAGACCGACCAAAATAACTCTGCGTTCTCACAAAACTTCAATGGTGATTCGAGAGTTTGATGACTGAGATTGAGATTAAGAAACTTTTCGTTTGTCCCCACCGCGTCGTTTAGCCTTCTACTCAACTCAATCGAAACAATCGATTTATTGATTTAGCACCATCATCGCTTTTATAACTCCATAGACGGACGTGTAGCACGATCTTGACATTGATGGTGAGTTTCCCCTCTCGAAGGTGGTCTATTATTCATCTATAAAAGGATTTGATTTCTTCACTTGAACAACATCCCCACAATCTGTGAAAACACTAAGTCATCAATCTTCTTTCTGATCTGAAATATGTCGCTGCTCCTCCACTGTCCAAGTTCAGTTGCTCTGGTTCTGTGAAGCTGTCAGACATGGAGGGGAACTGATGTCTCTTGATATGCTTTTGCTGGATTCGAAGGTAAATCTTTTCTTAAACTCATGTTCATAGTGCTTTATGTTCATAAACTCATGTTTGAAGTGTTTTTCAAGTGATGTTAGATATGTTCTATTTCACACTGCTCGGCTTCCAGTTTTTTAATGATTGTTTTTAAAATTATTTGATGTAAAGATCTTATCAAGATCGGTTGAATTCTGAGTTCATATTGTGTTTTTAGTGTGTTCTGTTAGTAGTATGCTGAGTTCATATTTTATTTTTAGTTTGTTTTGTTAGTAGTAGTTATTTAGTCCATATCTTATCAAGATCGGGTTCAAGTGTTCAAGTTTTAATTATTATGTTATTTTCTCTGTTTTGTTTTATGATCAGTCGACCATGATGCCGGCTACTGTGAATGTCAACCGTCTCGCAGCTCATCGGCCAAATCTGGAAGCTGGAGTGGTCTATTCTCTTACCGGTTTTGATGTTACACGTTGTGGCCAGAACTACCGTCTCAGATCAGTGACGGCTTTAGCAACCACACAAATCCTCGGCAAACCCATCAACTAGCTATGGTTCTATATATGCTTATTTGTTAATGGGGGTTGCATGTTCTTATATGCATCTCAAATTTCTTAATCTATGTGTGTTTGTAGAAAGAAAAAGATTCTAGAAAGAAGTGTTCTTGAGTTGTAGTGATGTTTTTATTTTTATTTTGAGTATGACCAGATAATAAAAGTATGTATCTTTACTCAGTTAATGAGAGGAGAGCAGTTGAGACGATAGGTGTCGGGATGAGAAGCTTTACTTTGGAGAGGAAGAAACCATACACAGCTGATGGTATTGAGGCATTGGTGAATGCTATTGAGGAAGATGTAATGATTACTTTTGTATTGTAAGTGTTACTGATACTTGATTGTCAAATTAATCTTCTTGAATTCTGAATTAATTTATCTCTTGAACTGTCTAAACATGAAGGAGGATGTTGAAGAAATCAAGTGGCAAACATACACGGGAGAACTCACACTAACTCAAAAAAAAAATTAAGGAGAAAGTATAAGGTTAGTTTCTTTCATTTCCTCTGTATCATACTTATAGTTTATTTATTTTGTAGAGCGTTCCACCTCTTCATCACTCATAATTCATAAATATTTGATACATGTTTCAAAGACCCACATGATATGGCCCTCTCACAATGCCACAAGATACTGTGTGCAAGGACGTTCACATCCCAGTTGAAGCGTTCGGGATTCAGTTTCACTTCTCTCACGCACGCATTTTAGATTGCCACTAGCTAATTTTTCTGATCAGGTGATTTAAACACAAAGAAAAACGTCGTCATCCTCTTTACATGTACGACTTATGATTAAACTCTCGCGTTAAGGTGTACATTTCTAATTTTCCAAACACTATTGTGTATAGTTTGGTATTTATTGTCTTTCTATTATTTCTATGTGTTCCCCTCCACCGTCATCTCAAGCTGTTGATGCACTTACAGCTGATGGAGGAAAATAGTTCCACGGGCTTAGTCTGAAGGTAGAAGTTGTGAAAGTTATTCAATAAAAGCATAATATAAATATTTTTTTGGTTTTACTGTTAAAATTGCATCCTCTTATCTTTTTTTGCTTCTTCTATGAAAGGTGTATTCCACATATATAACTTGCAGGTTTAGGACAGAACACAGTGCAAGAAAGTCGAAACAAGGGAAGCTCAAGGATCTTATCAATAGGGCCTATATGCATAAACTTTGTTCCACATAATATTCGAGTCGAAAACAGGAAGCACATGGGACAAAATCTGAGGTCCATGGGATGAAATAGTCTCACGATGATACAGAGCATGAATCTGGAGGCAAGTTCAATCAGCTCATCTGTAACATTTTATAATTTATATGTTCCATTTGTGAGACCAGAGTTAATATGATTAGAGAAAAAGCTATGCTCTGCTTATAAGCCAATAGCTAACTAAAACTAGAAATTGGTCTCAGCAGCCACTTTTATTCTTTGTGAACAAACAAAAATATATCGAAAGAAAACAAAATCGTAAGATATAAGATAGAGAAGGGAACAACTCAACAATAAGAAGAAAAAAGAATACAAAAACAATGGCTCTAATGTGTTACAAAAAAAAAGGGAACAACTTTTAGAAAACTTCTACAAAAAGGCTCTCTAATTGCTTTAAAACAAGTTA